CTCATTCAGGGAATGTTGATCCCAAAAACTCCCAGAGTTGCCCTGTTATTATAGAGAGGTATTGACTAGTATCCTATTTTTAGTTCCAACTAGAGTAGCTGACCCATTCAATCTATAGCTGCATGATAAATCAACACTTATGTGGACCGCACTGAGCCAATGAGTCTACTCTAGCTGGGACCAGTCATAGCATAGTAGCTACTGTGTGGCTCTCATAATGAAGGATGTACTCCCCTAAAACTGCCTTCTCCAGTTGCAGAAGGAGGGATAGCCACGGTGGCAACTGTAGGCTCGTTGCCAACATTGGATTTCTGGGCAAGTTGGTTGAGAGGGCAGTGGCTGACATGAGGAACTGAGCTTTCTTAGTCATTGCACCTTTCCTCTAGTTAGAACAACCTTCCTACAGAGGTTCGGCAGGCATCATCCATCTCCGTTTTTTAGTAACTTAATTAAGGCCAAATTATACAAAGCTGCCTTCAATTAATGTAAATTAGTTCTGAGATGCTTGAATGGATTTTAATTTGTGTTTTTTTTAAATTTAAAAACAGTTTCATCTAGTGACTGGGTTTAATTATATTTTATTGTATTTATTGTATTTATTACATGTGTTGTTGTGTGTTTATTGCATATCGTAAACTGCCTACCGAATTGCAACATCAATGGGATGGTCCAGAAATGAAAGTAAAGAAATAAATTGGCACAAAACAGGAGGGCCAAATGATTCTAGCTTTCAATTCTGAGTGAGTCTGTGGGCTAGATGAGGTGAAATGCAACATTAAAAACAGGCATGAACCAGAAAAATGACAAATCGGGTTAGTTCATGGCTATCCATGAAACTTCCCCAAACCCTAGAAAAACTATTTGCAGTTCATTTTTTTCCAGTTTGTGACTGAGGGGGAGGAGAACCTAATACCTCCCCCTCCCCCTTTCTGCTGCCCCCGTTGCCTCCCTACCAGGTTCTAACGCATTCCCCCTTTTTTCCTCTTCCTCTGGCATTTTTAGAGACAGCACCCCAGCTTCCCTTGCAGGGAAGCACATCTATTGGTGATGGTGCAATGTGAAGGGGGTGGCATTCATTTTGCCAAAGCAAAACAAAGTGCCAAATGAAAAAAAAGTTCGGCAGTTTGTTTCAGTTTGGCAAAACGGTTTGTAGGAAGTGAAACATGAACCAGCCCAGTTGTCTGTTCATAGTTCAGCTCATGCCCATCTCTAAACATTACTGTATCTCCCGATAAGACCTATCTTTTTGTGTACAGTATGACCCCTGCATCACTTCCTGTGACAACATGGCAGACAACAAGCATGTAAGGTCCAGGCCTTCCTGCTTGCCTTCCCTTTCGCCCACACTGCTTACTTTGCATATCTTGCTTGATGAAGAGAGTGTTCACTCAGAAACGTGCATTTTTGGGGGTGCTTTTCTGCACATTTCTGTGCCATTTTGGTCAGCATCATAAAGATACCACTGTAATCTGGATTTTTCTATTACCTGCTCTAATCCGTTTCAAGTTTGAGCAAAACTTTCTCCTTATGGTTAAGGTGCTACTCCCCCTCCCCTTGTGGTGCATGAAATAGGCTTTGGTCTAGAGAGTGACCAGTTTTTCCAGGAGTCAGTTTAGTTTGGCTCTTGAAAGGAACAGCAAGTTCCTGGTCCCTAAATGTGACTAGCAATGCAACGGACACTATCTTTAAGTTTTAATAATTAATAAATGAAGAATAAGAATCATTTTGCTACTAAACAAAGCAAAACAAAACAATCCTCACTGCCATTGCACTCTGTTGCACTGTAGTCAATGAGAAAAATCCATTCAACTCCATGGGATGCCCATTAGCTTGCAAGAATCCATATGGACCTAATGAAAGACTATTAATAAGAAGCATTAAAATCCTGAATAGTCAAATAAATGTCCTTTACCTACCACCTCTGTGAATTCACTCACTCTCTCTCTTAAGAGTTAATTTTATGAAGATTTATAGTTATCCAAATTAATAGAAATACACTACATTCCACTGCATGTGGAATACTTCTATCTTTATCCATTGCTATTGAAGCATATGAAGCCTTTCAGATCTTCAGAGTAAACATATTGTGCAAACACAGGATCTTGGCACCAATGCTTTCCTTTAGGGAGGCTGCTTCTGCCTTTTCGTGACTTTCCATTCAGAGCAAAATACCATGCTGGGCTTCCCACTAGGGTTTAGCAAGAGACATTACACGCATTCATATACTTCTGAGCATCATGTGTAGCTATTTTTGTATTTTGATTATTTCAGTAATTTTTGGAATATATGTGATTCCTTCAATCCCATTTGTTTAGTCATTATGTATTGATAGAGGACATCGTTTTACCTTTACAAGCCTGTTGACCTTGTTGGGGCTTGCTTATGTCAAATAAACAAGTAGATGATAACACTTTGTGTGATTCCTGTTTATAGTTGCTCCTCAGTTCATTCACATTTTTATTTTCTGATCCACGATAAATAACTGCTGACTGTGTTTTGGCTTAGAAGTATCACACTTTGTGCAGCATTGGACTAGAAATTGAGTCATAAAAAGCAGCATTCGAACCCTTAGTTGGAATGACTGGTGATCACTTGTCATCCTTAATTTTTAGAAAAAGAGGTTTTGTTTCAAGTCTGTCTGGAAATGTCACCTTCTGTTCTGTTAAGTCCTCTTTTCTATTTCTGGCTGTGTGGGAAATCTCTTTACATACTCAGGGGAGAAAAGTATACTTACATGTGCCTGGGGCCCTGGCCAATGAACAAGTAGAGATCACCACTTGCACAGTGGAAATATTTGCCTCAGCACTGTAATCTCATGCTCCTATATTGGCATGTTTTTTTTTGTTGCTTAATAGACACTCAATAGGATCCTGGCCCTTAAGCCTTATAATTCATTACCTGACAAAGCAAACCAGCTGCCGTGGGCTTAGGGATTCACAAATCTGTTTTTATTTTTGTTCCATTTCCCATTTTACCAGCCTTATTTTGTTTTATCTAAAATATTCTCCCTATTCATGGTGACTGTACATGCCAGGCTGCTTTTACCACATAACACCATGAGAACAATTGGCCCAGGGCTCTTCCAAATGGGAGAAATGTTGTAAACCCCCTCCTTTCCCAGTTCCTTCATGTTTGTCCCAAAGGAGTGCAGGACTTATTGTTCATACTCGACATTCAAAATAAGCTCTGAGAAAATGGTTTCTCTCCAAAGAGGAAATAGAAATACTTTTTTAAAAAGGTGGAAAAATAATATCCCAGCAGAAATTCTCTTCTGGAGTTGGGTGTGAGTATGTGTATGATTGTGTGTGTTTCCTGTGCCAATAGAATGTTTCTTGTGCTGTAAGTGAAGAAATGAACTTAATGGAACATAGTGAAGAGCACCTTCATGCTAAACTGCATTCCCTCCAAATAACTTGAAATAGAAATAAATTATGGGTGCAATCAGATGGGCATTTAGCCCACTGTTTGGTCTGCTGCAGGATGGGTTGGTTCACTCTTTTTTCCAATGATTACACAATGTAATTGCTGGAACAAACCAAATTGTCTCCAGAGCGTTCCTACCCACAACTTTCCAAGTCCCTATCAAGGGGATTCTACTTTTTTGGTGCAGGTAGGATCACTCTGGTGTGGGAATCACTGGGCCAAAAGTGAGTGTCAAGGTTCCTTCTGGTTGGAATTTCCAGTATCATGAAGTAGAAATAAATGAGTAACTTCAGAATACTGGCAAATTGAACACTCCTTCTGCTCCTTGGCAGTGGACAGTTTCTGGACTGAACCTTTAAGACAAGACAAAGAAAAAATATTTTTAAAACAGTTCTGCAGCACATCCACAATGGCCTACTACAGTCTAATGTTTTTTTCACTTCCCCTACCCCTCTGCCAAGGAGCAGAAGAGGCATTCAATTTGCCAATATCCTGAATTAGCTTGCTTATTAAACTATCATGATATCGAAATTCCAACCAGAAGGAGGTGGACTAAATAAGGTTGCTTAAGCCCTGATATACCATTTGGCTGTGAAGATCACACCTTTTTAGCCCGTAGCAGCCTGCGTCAAAAGAACCTGTGTAGACAAAGCCTGCGCCTTCAGGAGGAAATATTTCGATACTGGAAATAATGGATTCTATCACTGGAAATAATAAGATAACTCTTACAGTGGGGAAAATATCATAGGTGATGAACCAGTTACTCTTCATCTGGAAGAGTCCTCAGTGATCACTTTCACCCCCAAATGACAACTAACCCATAATCAGAATTAAGACATTTGCAAAGACCATTGTCACAAATTAGATTCAGCCAGGAGAATGTCTCTAGTTTGTGTCTTAAAAACATGGGTATAGCCCTGTTTCCCATTGCCAGTCTTCACAATCTTTATGGAGCAGAGATGGGATAAGACTTGGATGGATTCCATTATCCGAAGCCTCTTTCTGGGAAGAAACCAAAGCCAAGAGGGAACTGACCCATAGAAGAAGAGACAGAGACTCAAAGAATATCACAGCTCTTATTAAGATCATGGAGTTTTGATTGAACATCAGTTTAAAAAAATCCTTCAACCCAGTCCACATATCTCCCTTTGGAAACCCAGCACCTGGATGCTAAGTTAAGATAGGGGGGAAAAGGTGGGAGATTAACCCACACACCAAGGATGTGGCAAGACTGGGCACAGTGGGGTAACATGGAGAACATTTTGTGCCATTGCCTCCTTTAATGAGATGTAGGGGGAGGATTGCTATGACATGTCATATTTTTTCTGCAACCTATGTTTGAGCTTATGGGTGGGTTTGAACATATTTATGATTAATCTGGTGAGAAAGCCCGATTACTCACAAACATGTTTGTATTTGCTTATGGGTTCAAGAGTAGGTTGCAGAGAAAATGTGAAGTGTCATAAAAATCCGCCCCTGCTAATGATATGGATATAGCATTTATATCATAAGACTTATCTGGAGAATATTCACATGTACTTATTTGCTTATGGGTTCAAGAGTAGGTTGCAGAGAAAATGTCAAGTGTCATAAAAATCCGCCCCTGCTAAGGATATGGATATAGCATTTATATCATAGGACTTATCTGGAGAATATTCACATGTACTGTACATATATACATAATGGAATGATTGGCATGAGCACTGAAAACCACCCAGCTCCTCTTACTGGGGAAAGAGCTAAACATGATTTATATTGGATGGGTTTGCATGTGTGCACCATGAAGGTTGTTTGGGCAGGGAATGGATAATTGGGACATAGAACACCTTTGGCCAGCATGATTTGGGCCCACAATGAGGAGGTGGAACTCTTTTTTAAAAAATTGTGGTGAAGCTTAATCAGTGTGCTTTGCAGCTGATTAACAGCTGGAAGGTTGTGTCCTTGTGTTCATTGTGGGTGTACGGGGGGGGGGGGGGGGGGGGACCCGGGTTGCAGTCTGAGTTTGGAGCAGGTAGAAAATAAGGAAGAGAACCACAAGATAATTAAGGGGTTGTTGCTTTGCTGTTCATCTTGGTTTAAAGAAATTACATTAACAATAACTATTCTCTAGCTCAGTTTTACGGCACGGAGCAACTTCTGAAACAATCTCATGGAGGAAAGAGGAGTCCAAATTAATATTTCACATCAATTCTAAATTTGGGAGATGTCATTTACTGACATTTTCAAAACTTTAAAGTTTAAATATTAATTTCACGCTTCTGTTTTTACACATTTAAAATTTTAACCATCCATGTGTGTGCATGTGTGCAGCAGGCACAGACACGCATAAACAGAGCTTTCAACTTATCTGCAGTACTCAAGTCCAAATTAGAAAGTTAAGCATGGAGACTTGAGGGCAGGACTTCGAATATGTGCTTCTGGTTTGAGCCTGAGACTAAACAACCCTATGAGATAGAGAAAAGAAATGTGTGTGAGAATGGCCAGCAAATGGATCACACCCAGGCTCCACCCTAAGTCATTCAGTAAAGATCTTTGCTTCCTTTGGCCTCCTTTCCCAAAAGGACTGGTGATGCTCTGGAAATGCAGGGAGGGAAAGGAAATGGGAATGCTGAATGGTGAATGGCTTGAATTGCCTGGTGTTCCTCCACAGTGCCCCCTAGGGGAAGAGCAAGAGAGACACAACCACTTCATTCTGCACCTTGATGGGGGAAACTGGCTGTGCACAAAGAGGATGGTAGAAGTGGATTCCCCAGGTAATGCTGACTGGTATAGAAATCCGGGAGGACTGGGAAATAATGCAGTTACACAGCCCTCAGTCTGAGTAGATGATGAAGCCTGAAAAGGTGCTGTATTTGTTGTTATTGCCTCCGTGGGCTTTGCCTCCATCCAGCTTGATGAAGACCTCATCGCCAGCATCCAGGTGTAGAATGACGCTGTTGCTAGCGTAGTCATAGTTCTGATCCGCATCTTGTGCAATGGCGCTGGCTCGCACCTAGGGAGGGGGGAAAGGGCAAAAGTAGGTTGGCAAGAAAGGAAGACAGGTGGGAAGGGGGAAAATGCAGACATGAAAAAGTGCAACAGTTAATGACATTGATGGGGTATGGAAGTTTACCAGGAGTGTCAAACGGTTATATGGAAAAGTCAGTTTTTAAACCCAAAGCAAGTATAACAGCTGATCATAATGGTTGGGGGACTTTGGAAAGGTTTCTGGTAGTAACTTTTCTAAGCTGTGCACAGGGCAGGAGTGTGGAAGGGACACATTATAAAAATCTTGTACCCTCTGTTGCATGTTTCCTGTTAAATTTCATATTGTAAGGCAGACCACTTTAATTTCCATTTTGTAGTGAGCAAGTGTGGAGAATCATTTTGTTAGCCAGAGGCTTAAAATCACTACTTTATCCAGAGCTCAATGTCAGTACTGCAGGCAATATGTGCCAGTGCGTTCTTTGCTACTTTCCAGAACAACCTCATCCAGCAATTAGCCTCAACACAAGTGGAGCCCTTGCACCACTTCCTTTTCTTCCATTGAAGTGAATGGTTGCCATTCAGTCCTCCAGAAATCAGACTCAAAATGCTGCCATGTGGACCATGTTCACTGGCTTGCTGGCTTCTGTTAACAAGGATTTGTGTAGAATCCCAAGTCTTTCTGATACCTTGAGACCATGTGGTCTGGTCTCCATTGAAAGGAATCCTGTTGCGATATGTGTTATATGTGTATATATACACATGCGTGTACACTGAATGTAAGAATACATTTGCTGTGTGTCCAAAAAAAAGAGAGAAAGAAGGAAAATGCTTTTTCTTATGGCTTTTTCTTTTCTGTTTTTGTGGGAACAGACTAAAATGGATACTTCTCTGAAAACTGCTGTGTACCACACACTTCTAGAATCTGTTAGCACTCTGCATCTCTATAGCATCTGTGAGATAGACATTTCACTGGTAATAAAAACATCAAGGAATCTATTTAGGGACAGGCTGGTCACAACATCTCAGAATGCATTTTTCAGTGGGTGTGTAGGCCAGGAAGAGCATGGCATTTCTAAAGATTCCCAAGCCTTGGAAGCAATCAACTCTCCTTGATACTTCATTCAGTGTGTCAAGAGGTCAGCTGCTTGCATGGGGCAGTAGGTATGCGATATTTAACCAGAGACTGTTAAGTACAAGGAAAACCACTGAGCATCACTTTGGTAGCAGACCAAAAAGCTGCCCCCCCCCCCGATATTCTGCTCTACAGGGCCAACTCTGTTGAGGGTTAGAAGACAGAACTACAACTAACAGTTCATCAAGAAACAGGAGACAAGCAAGTTCTGCACTGGGTCCTACATAACTGCTGATTCTGGTCTCGATTTTACATCTGAGATACAAATGTTGAAAGGGAGAGCAGTTTAAAAAGACAGCATGTAACCTGACCTTGTTGCTAGTCCCTCCAGCCTATCTTCTGTCTGCTCCACCCTACAAAAAGCTTTCTCAGTGTCATCTTCTGCCTTGTCCTTAGCAGAAACAATGCTCAGTGTCTCACTTACTACTGAGGGTCCATCTGCTGAGCTGTAATCAGCCTAGAACAAATAGCGCTGCCTCCTACCCAGTCTGCTTTGTGGGGCATATGCATGAGCCTCCTCATGAAAAAGGAGGAAGATAATGTGGTATTTCCCCTTACCTTCCCCCCCCAAACATAACGTCTATGCTTCCAAAAATGGAAAAGTAAATAGGGCCAGGAGGTACTGCCATTTATTTTCTAACACACATTAGAAGTTCCAGAAGGCTTTTAATTGAAATAACATCAACTGTGGGTCCTGATGGCAATTTTAATTGTATTTTAATTGTATTTTAATTGTATTTTAATCATTTTATCTTTTATTGTATTGAATTTTAATTGTTGTAAGCCGCCCAGAGACCTCTGGGTAGAGTGGGCGGCATATTAAATAAATAAATAAAAAATAAAAAATAAAAAAATGAATGAATGAATGAATGAATGAATGAATGAATGAATGAATGAATGAATGAATGAATGAATTAGTAGACTCACTTAGCCCTGACCATCTGATCTCTTCTGTGTGATTGTGGGAGCCGACTAATGGTAGTATTTGGAAGATCTTTTAAAACTAAAACTTCCAGAATCTCCCAGCTTGTATGGCCACTAGTTGGATTCTGGCCAACAGAAGAGTTCTATGAGCTATAGGTGAGAAATTTTCTAAATTCTGCCTATTATGCTGTTTCCCAGCCTAAGACACTTGGGAGTGGAGAAGTGAAGGCCTGTCAGCTCAAGAGGGTTTCTGAATGTTCACAGTAAACATTCAAATATCTCCTAGAAGCAGCCGCAAATCTACTATGAAACTAATGAAGCTTAAGCTTCAGGGGCCCTAATCCCAGAGGTACCCCCCCCAATGACTTTCATTCACTGTTTTAAAAAAAATATGGTGACCTGTCATGGAACAATCCCATTAAAGAAGGTAACAGTGCTTACCCAGACTTCGATGTTTGCAAAGGGACCCCATAACAGTTTACGCTTCAGAGCCCAAAAATGTTTACTTTACTTTATTGAACTTATACTCTGCCCCTCTAGACAAAGTCTACTCGGGGCAGCTTACATGAGTACTGCCTAGTGTGAGTGTTTAGTGTGTCCCCCCTGAAAGCCCAATTAATTTCAAGGTGATGAGATAATTAGTCATCCCTCACTAGAGTGAACCTCAGCACTTGTTACTCATGCACAGGTAGACCTTCGATGTTTGCAAAGGGCCCCCCATAACAGTTCACGCTTCAGAGCCCAAAAAATGTAGGTTCACTACTTTACTTTACTTTATTGAACTTATACCCTGCCCCTCTAGACAAAGTCTACTCGGGGCGGCTTACATGAGTACTGCCTAGTGTGAGTGTTTAGTGTGTCCCCCCTGAAAGCCCAATTAATTTCAAGGTGATGAGATAATTAGTCATCCCTCACTAGAGTGAACCTCAGCACTTGTTACTCATGCACAGGTAGACCTATCTTCTTAAGCCCAAAAACTGGACTGAAGAGCGTGTTCTTTCTGTTTCATAGAAAAGTGAGATTGAAGTCAATTTCAGAATTGCTGTTTGATTTCCTATCCCAGAGGTTGAGGTCTAGTGGGGACGGAAGGGCAGCCCATGACTGGCCCGATGAATTGCCTCCCCCAAAATCTGGGAGTGAGGTGCCTCCTCGTCAAGGTCTATGAGCTGCCTCATGCTGAGAAAACTTATAAACTTAAGCAGCAGGCATTTGACCTTGTTTTGCTTCTGTTCCACAAATCAAACTTTTCCATGTATGTGTGTTATATTAATGAAAATTGTAGTTTGCAAGCTCCAATTTAGAGTTCAAGCTTGAATCCTTATCAGCATCACAATACTGTATTGATGATGATGAGTTACAATTGCTACTTCTTTATGACTGGGCCCTCATCTTTAATGGTCTAATGACTGACAGGTAGAAGACAGCCTGCTCTATGCTTGAGAATAACTGTGCCTATTGGACTTGGTCCATACCAACAGGTGAAAATTTTGTTCAATTTGTTCCTGATGGAAAATTACCAATATTTGCAAATTTCTTTATAAAACAGAAAGAAAATGAACTTTAAAAAAAAACCCCACACCAAATGTTTGTTTTACTTTTTTGTTTTGATTGCTTATTTATAATCCTATTGTTCTTGTGTTTGATCTATTTTGTCATGCTGTGAACCACCCAGAATAGTGCATTGCACTTGCGGGGCGGTGTATATATTAAATGAATAATTAATAAATAAAAACACAAAAAATGGTAGTTTGGTCCCGTCTGTATAACTCTGGCTGTGGCTAAACTGTCACAGGGCGGGCTGTGAATTTCGTTGTATGGGTATACTGTGTATATACTTACAATGACAATAAATTATTATTATTATTATTAAGCTGACACTGTGTCTTCCTTCATATTTCTAGATTTCCATCAGAGGTCAGGAACGTTATTTTTTTTTGGATTACAATCTCCATAATCCCACAGCCAATAGTTCTGAGACCTGTAGTTCCGAAAAGTACCGCTTCCCGAGTTCCAATTTCTGCAGAAGTTGTTTGCTCTTTTTCTGAGGATGACACAGCTGGACTCCAGGGCTGCTTTTATTTCTCAAATCTCCATGTGCCACATTTTCTGTTAGCTGCCGTGCTCCCACGCCTTTTTGGGTGTGACTAGAGAGTGCAGCTTCTTCTGTGTCGAAAGGAGATTTCTGCTCTTACACACTTATCTCCAGCTCTGGTTTCCTGGTGGGTGTTAGACAGCGAGGAAGCAAGCAGCTTTGCCACTCAGGGACCGAGAACCCTGTGATCAATTTATATCTCAAGAGCTCTCTTAATTAGGACTTTGCGTTTTCTGTTGAGGCAGACTTATTGGATGGAAGAATACTTCCAAGCCTCAGGCAAGAGGGATTCATTATCTGGACAAGCCTGCAAAGCATGCCTCTTCCCACACACTTGACTCCCACCCCCCACCTCCACCCCAAGTATGATCATACCTCCCACACACCCATGTCCATGTACTGCAGAAGGCAAGTTGGACTATGACCATAGTTTAGAGGAAGTTACTTATTTTGGACTATAATTCACAAAAAAACCCTTAGCCAACAGCACCAGTGGCCATGCAATTGGGGTCTTCTTGCCATTTTAATCCAAAAACTCCTTAATTTCTAACTTAGAGGAAGTTACTTATTGTGGACTATAATTCACACACAAAAAAACCTTAGCCAACAGCATCAGTGGCCATGCAATTGGGGTCTTCTTGCAATTTTAATCCAAAAACTCCTTAATTTCTAACATTGGATTTAGGTGGACTAAAAGAGCATGTGACTTACATACAGAAGGTTCCCCAGCTCAGCCTCTCAATATAGCCATTTCGATCAGCCTTTCACAAATAGGCACATTCTGGAGATGTTAGATTATACCTCCCATCATCCTCAAACACATGGCTAGTGTTATTTTGGGAGGCGCTCTCTGCTTTGAAGAGCTGCTGTTAGTCAA